CTGGTCATAACCTGAAAAGTTCGTTAACAGAGGCGTTCGTAACCCGAGGTACCACTGTATTTGATTGATCCATATTTTATATTTTATAACTGTTTTATCAAAATTAAGAATATGATCACTGATGATGACTTTAAACAGGACCCTGACATTCACTACAGATAAAGGTATGGTAGATGCAGGACTGTCTACAAGAACATTGTTGCATTTGCAGTGAATTACCTTAAGGAGATTCTTTCCACATTAGTTTCTGATCTTATGCTTTCTATCATGTTCTCTTGATGGAAATATACAGCAGTTCCAATTTATTATTTGTAAATGCATTACAGAATATGAGACTGAAAACTTGAAAAACAAAGTTCAGTAAACACGAACTACCTAAAAATCTCATTTTTAAAACCTCATGTCATCAGCAAAAGATGTTATTCCTGAAACTGTTACAAACTCAACATACAGGTAGTCCTTGTTTAGTGACTGCTTCAGACAGCAACTGTTCACAGTTACAACGGTGATGAAAAAGTAACTTTGTGACCAATGCTCGCATTTACAACCTTCGCAAGTCTGTAAAGCAAAGGAAAGCTGAAGTGAAATCATGTTTCACTTAGCGACTCCTTTGCTTAATAACTGAGTTGCCAATCCCAATTGTGATCACTAACAAGGATTACTTGTAATTTCTTTAGCCAGAATGCCATGAGCAGCTGAAATGCCATTCACCATTGAATTGGAAACATTCATTCAAATGTTTGGATATTTAAATATTATGTTAAACAATTTTTCAGCAGTAGTGAATTATGGCCCTTTGGATATTGTTGGACTATAACTCCCATAACCTTTGACCAATGGCCAGGTTGGTTGGGGCTCATAGGAGCTGAGGTTCAATATCACCTGTGAGGAGCATGGAATGGAAAAGTACTGTGCCTGTGATTCTTGCAGGACACCAAGGATTAACTACTTGCCTAGCTTTAATCTGTAGTTAACCTTTCCTAATTAACCTATAGTTGACCTTAGTGGCCTATCTCAGGGCAAGGATGTATTCACCCATAGCTGACCCTTCTCAGTTAGCCTATATCTAACCTTAGTAACCTATTAAATGTATTCACCTGTAGTTGACATCTCCTGAGAAAACAAAAGATATGGGGATGGGTCCACAGCACAGAAGAGATCAAAGGGAAATCCCAGTTAAGGTGATGAAGAACTTCTTGAACAATCATTAATCTCTAAATGTTATATCTCCTTGAAGCAAAATGTATAAAAACCCTGATTTCTTTGTGTTCGGGAGTCTAAATGTTATATCTCCTTGAAGCAAAATGTATAAAAACCCTGATTTCTTTGTGTTCGGGAGTCTAAATGTTATATCTCCTTGAAGCAAAATGTATAAAAACCCTGATTTCTTTGTGTTCGGGAGCCTCTTTTTATAGAGGTATCCCCTTTACTGCTGTGCATCAATAAAGGAATTTTGCTCTAAAGGGTTTCTCGTGTCTGGCGGAGTTATTGGCAGTCATCTCTGGGCAAGAACCCCGTTTTGGGTCCAACACCTGTAAGGTCAAAATCCTGGTTTAGTTATTTCAATTAGTTCTATGAAATGTTAATTGTCAATGGTATATCAGATCAAAGTAGCTTCACTTAGTTTGAGACATCACATTTCAAAAATACGAAATGCATGTAGACTTTATCTTCATTGTTTGTGGATTTTTTTTATACACCAAGTGAGAACGTGTGTGTGTGTGTGTGTGTGTGTGTAATGTACAACTCAGAAATAAAGGATGGATTTACACATTACATTAAGTCATGTTTTATTTGGCCAATTTATTTAATAAGATCCAGTTTGCTTTCCTACAATACTCTAAGCCAGTGTATCCTGACCTTGGCAACTTTAAGATCTGTGGACTTCAACTCCCAGAGCTCCCCAGACAGCATGCCACAGATCTTAAAATTTGCCAAGGTTGGGAAACACTGCTTTAAGCCACTAACTGTGTTCAAAAACCTCAAATGTTTTGTTCACAGAATACAATAACCCAATTAAGCAAACATGGCTTAATGCAACACAGTGCTATCCAGACACTACTGAGCAAGCATATATAACACTAAACTCTACTAGACATATTTACAGACCACAATTAGCTATAATGTAATTTATGTTTGGCACAGTGTGATGTATAAGCCTGCAACTATAGCTTACCATATCATAATGATATGCTCAACAAGCCACAGTTGTGTTAATGTAGCTATAGTATTTAAAATC